TAAAGAGAGCATTGGGGGAGGTGAGGTGACACGTGGCATCGTCCTAGTGGCTTTGGTCTACGTACCATTGGAAAGAGGAGGGAATCTTGGCCATGCATGGCCAAGAACTATGTAGAAGAAATGGCTTCCCACTTCCCATACATTTGATGGAATGATAATTGAATGTGACAATGATTACAAGGGAATGGAGGGTTGTACTACTTGTTGTGCCCAGATGAAACTAGAAAGAGCCATGGTAGAGGTATACCAAAATGAATTATTGTATTTGTACACCAGGCAAAAACAAATACTTAGTATTTGTGATCACATATATTAAGTGTCTGTATTTGTTTGGTGTTGCTCATTTTGGTGAACCCCTAAGTTTATTCTACTAAAAAATATGAAGTTATTTTATATATATATATATCTAGCATTACTCTATTGAGTATAATTTTGCTCCATAAAATTTGATGGATATCAAAATTCTTGAAATCAGTATCTCTATTTTCGAGTAGGGAGTTTTAAGACGAAGGAAGAATATAATTCCTGTGCGATCCCATTGCATTCATTATTACTTTAACTTATTTGTAACATTATCTTACTTTTCGTGTCACTCACTTATATCCCCAAAAAAATAAGATGGTGAGTGAAAATATTTTTTACGTATGTAACTTTGGGTGAAATCATTTTACATCGTTATTATTGCTAACTTTACCTAGAGAAGAGAGAATATTTATACTACTATTGATATTCCTATTCCCTACGTCTTTAAAAGAATGACCTATTTTTTTATTTGAATAATTTAAAATTAATTTCTTATTCTATTAAAAAAATCGACAATTCACGTTATTTTTCTCTCTGCTACATAAATATTTACCATACAATTTTTTTTTTTAAAAAAAATCATAAAACTCCACCGAGAACATTTATTTTGAGACAAAGTGATTATTTTATTTTATGTTTGAGGAAAATGTGCAAAACAATGGTCCCTCGTGAATATATATGACGTTGGGTACGGGGGAGGGGGGGGGCTAGTTGTATAGAGGGGATGTTTGGTTGGCATAAATTTCAAAGCTTTTCTACTTTTGACAATAATGGAAAAGAATCATTTGATTAGTTCCACCGACGTGAAAGTGTCAAACCTGTCCTCAAAGTACAAAGTGTTTGCAACCACTCACTCAGTGTATTGCCCATTATGAACCAATAATTTCGTCACATTGCTTAGGGGAATGGACTTTCGAGAACCATCTTTTTTGGCAATTTCTTCCTCTCAATCAAAATGTTTTACCTTTTATGCAAAACGAAATTAAATTTGATATGTTTTTAATTTATTTTATTTGAAGACTGTCACAGAAATTAAAAATAAACAATGGTGATAACTGTACCCATTCAAACGCTAGATTCAAATAAAGATTCACGAAATATACCCCAGAATCTAAATACTACATATAATGGTATTAAAGCTTAGATTTAAGAACTGCCAATTAATTTTCTCCCGTAATCCTGTTGCCTAAATTTTTATAGTGTGCTTACTCTAGAATCGTGTTTCGCAGTCATCCACTACACGAATTTCTCAGAATTGCAAAGGAAATCTAAAACAGATCTAATTGTGTTGCAGATCTAATTGTGTTACAGATCTGCGACAGGCCTGTGACATATTTGTAATTCGTAAAAATAATTTAATATTTACAACGGACAAACGGAAATATGAAACGATGATCACCAATCTAGTTTTTCTTTGTGGTTTCCACAAAAGAGTATATCATTTATAGTATGGAAGTTTGATATTATGAGATTCACAAAAATACATAGACAATAATTATCCCTATATGTCTTTAGTGTCAAATTTTAAAATCAAACTTAGTATGATTTCTCTTATTTTTTTTCCCAAAACAAAAGGAAATTGAGTTAATAATCATTTTGGTCCCTCTAAGTATACTCACGATTCAATTTGGACCCTATAAGTTCATTTGAGTCTATATATAGAAAATGTGAATCAAGTTAGTTCTTCGAGCGTAATTTGTCTCCAAAAATTTCTAATTATCACGCTAATTGACGCAAGAGCAATGACACCATGTATTAATACATGTTAACTTAGGATTTTTGAAGATAAATTTTGCATAAAGAACTAATTTGATTCATATTTCCTAGTTTCAAAAACTAATTTGACTAAACTGAACTTACGGGGACAAAATTGACTCGTGGCTACACTTACAGGGACTAAAACGAGTATTAACTTAATGGAATTAGTGTCCCTCATCTTGAAAATTATTTCTTTTCATTTGTTTTTCTTTCTACTTTTTTCATCTCTAACCAAACAAAAAAAACTATTTTCTAACCATACTTTTTTAAACTTATTGAATCAAACATAGTGTTAGGGACACTGGGAGTAAAATCTAGAGGCGAAAATAAAGATAAAAGTTAAAAGGCAGAGGAGCTGCATTAAATTGTATAAAACCTATTTGTTACTACTCGGGTAATAAAGACATGTAGACCTAGCAAAAATTGACCCGCCTATTTTTGACTCAAAACCCGACCCAAAAATACTGGATTTTAAACAAAGGTTTTGATGATCAAACCTGATGTGATTAACCTTGAAACGACCCGCTAAAAATGGGTCAAATCCAACCTGACCGACCCGGTAATGTAAGAGTTTTTCAAAATCATATACTTATTACTCATTTTTAGTATATTTTTAAATCTTTATATTGATTTATATATCTAACAATTACTTCAAAATTTATAATAAAATAATCTAATAGTTTAATACATATTTTTGATAATTTAAATTTATTGAATACAAAACACAAGTGTTAATGTGAATTTAAAAAATTTTAAACCAAAGTCATAACCCATTGGGTAGGCCTGATTCCGATGACACTGGGTTATGAACATACAGTTCACAATCTGAACCCGAAGTAATCCAAATCTGAACCCGATCTGGCCGACCGATTTGTCAGCTTTAGAGACATGCATTTTCTATACTACCTCCATTTCATTGTCCTTTTTCATAGAGTTTATAAAAAGTTTCGGAAAACACTTTCTGTCCTAACTTAAATAATTTAAATCGCATGTTTCGATTTATGATGTTTGATGAAAAATATTTTTAATGCAATTTATTAGAGAATTGGAATGGAACTAAAAACTAAAATTTTTAAGACTTCATCAAAAGTTCTATGAAACAAAAGGTGACATGGCTATTATTTTATCAAAAGAGTATCAAAAAGAAAATGAATAAATTTTGATCCTATAAATAATAAACAGATAACTTAATTTGGAACGGAGAGAGTAAAAAGTTAAGTTGTTATGAATTGATTACAAAATACGTAGTACTACGTAATTAATTGACTTGGGCACTTTACCAAATTTGTAAAATAGTGAAGAGTAAACCTTCAAACAAGACAAACGAAAAAAGGTGTAAACTTCACAACAGGACGAGGGGGATTAGGTGAATGTTGTTTTCATCTTTATATTCCAATTGCATTATTTTCAGACTTCAAACTCCAATTTTTAACCTCATTTTCTAGTCACCAAACTCCAAGTTTTAGTTTAAGTCACTATCTGGACTTCGGGCTCTAGTTATAGCATACTCTGGAAATTCTTCTCCCGTTAAAATTAAGGCAAAAAAAAAAGACCTTATAGACAAATGTATGTACAATGCAATTGAAAGTCTACACAGATTTTTGGAAAATAACATTTGTTCAAAAAACGGCCTGGTTTTATGGCTACTCAATTAGTGTGGCCATTAAAGACATTGTCCCAATTGGGACACCTACGGTACTTCGTTGGTAAAAGGGATCGTTTCTACCCACTAACCACCCGGTAACCCCCCCCCCCCCNACCCAAATCCCTCCCTCCAACGACGTCAATTGCGGGGTGCAAGTTTAGTTGACTTTGGGGTCAAAAAATTTGAGCCCGAAGTCCCCTCAACTTGCACCCCGCAATTGACGTGGGTGGGGAGATGGGTTGGGGTCGAGATTGGGTAAAGGGTTTACCAGGTGTCCTCCCTAGTCACTCAAAATGAGTGTGGTCACAAGTGAGTGGCATAGAACTTGTGTAAACAAAAATACTCTACCGGTGATAAAAGGGGGGTGAACAATGTCCAAAAAGCAAATCAACTAACATAAATGTCTTCATTTCATCGACTATATATGACTTCTTTTTTTTTGGATGCTTTTCTGCCTGGGGAATTTACCTATATAATACTAAAACATAATGAGTTTTTCAATGTAATACCATATATTTTAATTTCTCAATGTAGTACTAGTGTTCAATGTTCATTGGACATTGTTCAAGTAAATGTCTACCATCACTGGACATTGTTCAAAGTAAATGTCCACCGCCGCTAGACATTGTTGTTGTCACTGGACAATGGACATTGTTCAAGTAAATGTCCACCATCACTGGACATTGTTCCAAGTAAATGTCGACCGCCGCTAGACATTGTTGTTGTCATTAGACATAATTTAAGTACTATTTAGTGAATAAAAAGTTTTAGGTACTAAATTAAAAAAAACATATGTTCTAGTACTATTTAATGCAAATTTCACTTTGGTCGTCTCAATGATTTCTAGTAAAGCATGGTTACATTCCATGTACCACTAGCACCACCCAATCAAGACAACAGTTTAAAGATTGGACAAAATCGTACCTTTTGTGATGATGTGAAGCCATAGCTCAAGTCAAGCATTGCAGCATTATCATTAACGAACTTGTTACGGCGCCTGCTAAGGTCCAAACCATGCCAAGACCTAGTTGTACTCGTATGTTAAATAATCTAAACTGTACCGAGATTCGCATATCATTTTGTGGAAGAAACATTACTCTGGCTGGGACAAGTGAACAACAATATATATATTAATTAAGAGTATTTGAAATTTAAGCAATAAATAGCATATATAAATGATCAAATCCGACCTGCACGATCCCATAAGTCAATTGAAAACAAGGTCAAGAAGAATAATAACATCCGCAACTAAGCAGAATAGCAGATATTATATATAGGATGCACTTAGCAAACATAAAACTTCTAGCATTGCAAAAATCAGTTTCGTCTTAAAAGTTTAATCAAGCTATAGTTCTGCATCCTCAAAACTAACTGTTGATCCAAGATGAGAAAATATAAAACTAGTTGGGAGAAACGAGGCTCTCGACATAAACCACAGTATAGAAGTAATCTGAACCCTTCTTAGATTTGGGAAAGATGACACGACTATTATCGTTGCACGGATTGTAAACAACCAGACGGGACCCACCCACATCGAAAATGACCTTTCCGTCATCCCTGAAGCAGAGTAGTGTCACCAAGTAACAAGTTTTGGGCAGCGCATGGGGTGTGAAGCGGCAAAGCCTTGTCCAAGAAGACTTCACCCCATACTCTCTCATTACCCAGACTTCCACTGGTTCAACATCTGGACCAAAGGTGCCACCACCAGAAAATGTAGAAAAACAGCCTTCGATAATGTTCAGCCCATTAAAAGTGACATTTGGGGCAGCCACATCAGGAAGTGGAATCACAACTCGGAATTTTTCATCAGCAAGATCCAAGGAGACGACCCTCTGTTCATAGCGGCTGTTGCCATGACAAGTTGTCACAAGCCAGTGCACGCAGCCATTGAAAAAGAACCCGTTCTCAATAACCTTAAGCTCTGGATCATACTCGATCCTCTTCCAGGAGTTGGCCTTGAACGAGAACATCTCAACAATGAATTCAGGTTGCGGACCAATAGTGGGTTGGGGGCCTCTTACCACCTTGTAGTCATCAGTGGTAGCATCATAGCCAAATCCATTGAAGAAATTAGCATGTGTGGGAATGTGAGTAGGCTTTGGCAGCTCGCGAGTTTCCCCAGTGGTTGGATTGATCGCAGCAAACGTTTCGCGTGCGATATACAGGCAGATAAGGCCATTACAGGAGCCTGCCAACTCGAATGGTTGCTCAAAAGATTTTGGAGGACTGATCCGTCCTTTTACTGCAATACACCGAACGATTACCCCATCAGAAAATACACTCAGCCGCCAGATCTTATCACACATATCAACAATTTCACAGTCAATCCAGATTCCATATTATTAGTTCTTCAAACTATCAATCCATAAGGCACTCTCTAACAACTACTATGAAGAAGAGATAATTTCACACAAAAACCACAATAAATGGAATGATTTCGGTCCTCAATCCGGCATTACATTCAATCTGAATACAGGCATTGATTGAAACAAAAGATCCGAAACAATAACCGGCAGAGCGATTCTTAGGCGTACCTTGATTTCCGTTGAAATCTACAGAATGGAGAGGATCGCTGATGAGGATCCTGTGGCGAGCGCTAGGGCAATTTTCCAGCGATCTCCTGAGATGGGATTTCACGAAGTGCGGATCAGAGATGAGAGAGAGCCATTTCTTGCTCACAGACTTGAAGCGTCCTAGAGATTTCACAGGCAATCTCGTCAGAATTTCAACCAGAACGAGTTCTTCTCCCTCTATCTTCTCCATAGACTGATAACCCTAATATCCAACAGAATTTTCTGCTTTCTTCTAAAAACTCCAAGCTACCCACTATTTTTTTTTATAACTTGTGGGAGGCATTAAAAATTTGAACCATGATAAGGTTATACCAAAATGGAGTACCTCATTTATATATTGTGAAAAGCGATTGGTGAATTTTTTTTTTTAAAAAAAGAAAAGTTTGAAGCATTTCTTGTATTTTTAGAAGAAATGAACTAAGTGGAAGAAATGACTAGTGTAACTACATGTGTAATAATAAAAAAAACTCGTGTAAATTGGGAATTTCTCATTAAATAATGCAAGCTAAATGGTAGTTTTGTATGTACAAGTTCACTTGACAAAGAATACAAGCATTTTGGAGTCAACATTACATTTTTTTATTTATTTTTCCCTACATAAGTACATAAAAATACACAATGAATGGTAACTGCTAAGACACATATATGCAATTACATATTGTTACAAGAAAATGAAAATTAAAAAAAAAGGGAAGAATAAATCTTTGATCAGTGCTGGAAATCTGCACATATATATGTTGTGGTCATCATAGCAAAGAATGGGAATGCTTTAGCAAGGTGTTGAAAGGTCTTATGTGTGCTTTGTACCATAGATTCTTCACTCCTGCACTCATCTGATTATATGTAAGCAATAGTCATCAGTGTTACAAGACATAAAAGTCCCACATCCAACATTAAATATTGTGTTTAACTTTCGCAAAATTGTTATTCTATTATGATTAAGGTTCTCTCTAGAATGGTGCATTTTTATACCGTCACGATGCATTTTTACATTGTGGTAGTGCATTTTTTGGCACTGGGAGTAAAGTTCAACTTATCTACCATAATGTCACCGTGTTTTTTCAGATTTTTTTTGAATTTTTCAAGCCCTTAGATCTTACAATCTTATGCTCGAGATGCATTATTATTTCTTTCATTAGATTACATTCTCACTTGATTCTGTATATCCCCTCGGTTCCAATGACATAAGAAATTAATGTCATGGGATGACCCTGGGGTGCGCTGGGGTCTCGTTCATAAAATTGACAGTTCTTACCCTCCTAATCTCCCTAATAAACTCCCCACCCCACCCCACCCGACCCGAACACACCCCCTCAACCCCTTCAATTGCACCCCCCAATTTTGACTATTGGGTCAAAATTTGACTCCATAGTCAAAATTAACTTAGGAGTGCAATTGAAGGAGGTGAGGGGGTGTGTTCGGGTCGGGGCGGGGTGATGGGAGGGTTAGTGGAGGTAGGAACTGTCAATTTTACGAACGGGGCACATGAACACCTCCGGGTCATGGGAACCGGCCCCACTATATATAGGGATAGAATCTTCAGTATTGAATAAGATCAATTACTATCAAATTCTACTGGACTAGGAGGGAGTATCACATTTATGGATATGAAGATGGAATAGAGGGAGTATCACATTTATGGATATGAAGATGGAATGTGGTATTAATAGGGTAAATTACCCTTCCCAGGCTTCCTCTAGTGTAAGGGACAGTTCTTTGGTACCCTCCCACAGAAGTAGTTGCAGCTGGAGATTTTCTGCTTATTGCTTCTTCTTCCCCTCTACAGCTCAGTTTTCCTCTGCTGCTTCTTGTAGCCATTGATGAACAATTATTTGCCCATTTTTGATTCATTTGTCTGGGGAAGCTTTCCTATTATATTGGAGTAATCAAAATCCAATATTCAATCATTTTCTTTGTTCTTTATGAATATGAATTTACTTTAGCCTCTAATTAACTATGCATTTATATAAAGTATAAGAATATACTTTACCATTATACTTCTGCTCCTTGTTGTCATCTGCGAAGATCCCTCCGGCCACTTCCCATTCAATAAATCCGGAAGAGTTGCTTCCTGCGAATTGAACGACGTGCGAAACTCGTTACTAATTGTTTCGTAGTTCATTCATATCTATGTAATGTTGAGGACTTAAGCCACTGGATGTGCAAAAAGTGGCCCGAGGTGTTTTTGACCCGAGAACTGACTGGGAAATGCTACATTTTGAATAACTGTTTTGTTACCCGAACTCGAAGATGATCGAACACGAATGACCCGCTAAAACTGGGTCATCCTGAATCCTCCGACCGACTCGCTAGGTTAAAAAAATTAAAATCATCTAATTTTTAGGATGCAATACTCCCGTATAATGTGATAAAAATACTACTTCCTCCGTCCCTGAAAGGGTTTCCTTTATAGACTTTTTGAAAAATTAAAAAAGAGATATTTTTGTGTTGACTTTCCAAAAATACCATTGATGTGATGAGTAAAAGCAAGATGTGATAGATAGATTATTAGTAAAAAGGTATGATGTGATAGATTGAGTATGAAAAAGTAAGGGGTAAAAGTGGTTTTTTGATAGATAATAGAACATCTTTTGGGGACAACAAAAAAATGAAAGAGGAAGATCTTTCAGGGACGAAGTGAGTAAAATAATAATAATGCTAACAACGGCAAGAAAGTTTTGATCTTGAAACCAATGTCATTATATGATCCGGGACACCTACAACGCTTTGTTGGTAAAATTGATGCTTCATACCTCCTTCTAACCACCGCCACCCAAANCCTATTTGGGCAACCTCCCCGATTTGTTTCTCAGTTTTTATAAGGCACAATATACCCAAATTCGTAAAATCAAATCAAAGCGGGAAGAAAATAGAGAGGAAGATTTGGATAAATACCAAAAATAGGACCGTTGCACAATGCTTTAGGACCTCCAGATTCATACGAACATCATCTAAGCTCCTGCAAGTAGGTACTCATAACATTAATGTTTCAGCTTTTTTTTTCTTTTCCTTCAAACTTTTCTCAAGAGATATTAATAACTTTTTCCAGCCATTTCTGGCATTAATTTATGTATATTACCTGTGCTTCTGCTGCCCAAGTCCAAAGTACTCTGCTAGAGTTGCCATCTTAAGATAAAAACAAGCATAATTACCTTCTGAATAAGTCATATATACTTTGTATAATTTAAAAAATTAATATATTTTGATCAACGAAATAGAAGTATTGGCACCGTGAAATGCCATAATTTGGCATTTCACGGTGTTTTTTTGACATTTTATTTTAGTATTATCTGGCATTATAATGAGTCATATTTTGTTTTACTCATTAATAAAGACATTTAAGGTTATATTCGAATATATAAACCTATGTTTTCGTCCTAGTTAGGTATTTTTGTCGCGAAGGACAGACACTGCATACCTTCATATTTCCCGCCCTTCTTCCGAACTTTTCGGTCAATACTCCCAATGAATCAATGGTACCCGCGGGTACGGGCGGAGGGCGGGAAATCTCCGCAAAGGCCTCCTTAATGCGAACACAATCGAATCTATGAATGTTATGCCCGGCCCATATCCTCCCGTCCAAAATCCCAAACACATTGTCTGCAACTTCACCAAAAGTGGGCGCGCCAAACACGGCCTCCCGGGTGATCCCGCCCGCCCGACCCGACCGTACCGGGACCACGGACGGGTCCCCCGGCCGGATCAGGGTGCAATAGCTCTCCAGCTCCGCCAGCCTCCTCGGGCAGATGACCATTGCCCCAAACTCCAAGACCTGAAATTTCTGCCCTGCCCGGTTGGGCACCGTCGTCTCCAGATCGAAGAACACAATCTGCGAAGCTCTTTCATCGGTTGCCATTTCGGATCAACTGGGATTCTTAGGATGTGACGATGATCGGTCGGGTATAAATGGTGGGGGAGGATTAAGGAAAACCATTACCTGCGGTTTCGGGTTTTCTTGAAATTGAAGTCAGCTGTGGTTTGGGTGTTTGTTTGGACCAAGTTGTACTTGGCTTGGGGCTGATGATGTCCAGATTGATGATGTTCTTCGACTATTTTTTATTGTTTTTGCTTTGTTGAGAGGTATTTGAGGTTTTTTTTGGCTAAAGGCATTTCATCGAACAGGTGGTGGGTGATTCCAGATTCCATGCCATGGAAAGCTTTCCTCTTTCCATTTCTGTTGGTTAATGCGGTTGCCAACAAAGTGGAACACAAATGCTCGCGTGGCAATTTCTAAACGCCATAATATAAAGGCTAAATTTATATCTCAATCTTTTAGTCGAGTTTGATTTATTCGAGTCAAACTCGATGAATTTTAAATTTTAATTACTCTCAACTTATATTGCGTATTAGTGCAACGAAATTAAATTTTGAAAGATTTTAACAAGATTAATTTAATAAAATTATTTAATAGTAATACATATCACAATATAAAAAGAAAAGTAATGTTGTAAGGGCAAGGTTCTAATGACATTAACTCCTCATGTCATAGGTCTGTTTGGAGTCCTTACGGTGCTTCGTTCGAAAAATTAATGGTTCATATCCCCTAAGTATACCCCCAACTCGATCCGATCCAAACTCATCCCTCCTCTGTCAATTGCATCATCACACAAGTCACAAGATGTAGTTGACTTTGGAGTCAAATTTTGTCTTCCAAATAAATTACATCTTGTGGGGTGCAATTGACGGGGGAGATGGGTGGGTTCGGATCAAACCAAGTTGGGTGGGGGAGTTTATCAGGGAGGTTAGGAGGTAGGAATCATCAATTTTTTGAACGGAGTACCGTATGGAATTCGGGTGACTCTCATGCAGGTCCGGCCCATAAGGGGGACGGGCTGCCCAATTGGACCAGGCCCATGGTTTATGGGGGCCTAATTTTTTAAAAATATTACAGCATATATATAGTAAGCCCAAAACCCAGAGCTCCAGCCATTCTTCCGTCCAGTTTCGAGAAGACTATTCACTCCAGCGGCGGCAGCGGCGGCGCGGAAGAACTCTTCTTCACTCTAGCTTCCAGAATTTGAGATTTTGAGGTATTCATCATTCTTATTCAATTATTCATTCGTCATTCTTGGAGTAAATTAAAATTGAGTCTAGGGTTAGTTGAATAATCTTTAATTATAGGGTAAAAAAGATTAAAACACACCATAATCTTGTCTCGACCCATTAAATCTTAGTTTACAGCATTATATGTTTATCCCTAATCCGTCCTTTAATTCAATGCGTCATATATATGTCTCAATTTGTTCCCTGTTGCCATGAAAATTTGGGGAAAAGTGCAATAGTTAGTACTAATAAGAGTGTTCAAATGAGTCCAGTGTAATGTTGTATTTCATTGTTTCTTGGAAATATATATCAAGTATTTTGATAATATTAGGGCCCTGTATTACTATCAAAATATCAAATGTGCCATTTACACACACACACACTCTCTCTCTCTCTCTCTCTCACACACACACATATATATATATATGTGGAATATATTTTAGTGCTATTTTAATAGTTTTTCCAATTATTTAATTTACTCGTGCTAAATATGACTGCAGCTTTGCAAGAGGGACATAGTTCTTCTTTTAACTACAATGTTGGGTCAATTTTGGAGTCTTGTTTTAGCTTGGTTAATTATTTCCACTTTCCAGCATGTTAGTTTTGCTTTGTTCCTAAATCTAAAAATACTTTTGCTAATGCTGATCCCCGCAATTTAGTATATTAAATCTAGGATTAATTGTTAATTGTGGTTTTGTTAATCAATAATCTTTGTTATGAATGAAATTATGATTTAATGTGTTCTTCATTTGATATTCAAGAAATGATGATCAACCAATTTGCTCTCAAGAATGCAATGAGAACTTCACGAATCCCCGGTTAACTCTTACGGTATGTAATAATTCTATGACTTTGTCATTGATTCATATTGTTACGGAGTATAGTACTATTACGTTAATTGTAATTTAAAAATAATTAGTTTACCTACTTAAATTTTGTAGGTCATTAGGCATAAGGCCTTTAGGGCCATTTTTCGGTCTCGACCCAGGCCATTAGATTTTTAGGACCGACCCTGATCTCATGATATTGATTTCCAATGTCATGGGAACCGTGGTGATTTTGTAAAATGACAAACCAAGAAGGGCAAGGCTGGTAAGGGGCAGGCGGGTAGGGAGGTTGGAAGTATGAATCATTATTTTTTTGAACAATACACCTTAGGCACTTGATGCAGATTTCAATGTCAAAAGAAGTTTAACACACTGAGCACATGAATACCGTATCCCTTTTTCCAAACAATTTTCTTTAATTTTCTGATCATGATTTATAACTCTTTTTTAACTCTCTTATCATGTCATGTCTTTGATAATTTTTTTAAATTAATTTTAAATTCATAATAAAATAATGAAATACGGGAGTACTACCTTTGCTCAAGAATATTTCTCAAATTTTATTAGTTTTTGCAGTTAAAGGTATAAATTACATATTTCAAAACAATACAAAAATTCTAGGGAGTATAAAATAAAATGTGATAGGTATATTTTATTTTATGAAATAATTAATGAAAAACATATAAATAACAAAAAATTATAATGATCGAGAGTCTATAATAATAATGGATACAAATTGTATAGAGCGACTAAGAGCTTGTTCTCTGGTGTGATCTAATCAGTACAAAGTATGATCTAATTTTAATAAAAACTAGTATCACACTCGTGCGTTGCACAACTTATATTTACAGTATGAAATGTATTGGTGTTATTATTAAAGAAAATAAATAGATCATATAATAAAATTTAAAATTTTTCGTTCTTTTAATGCATGAATATCAAATGAATTACGTTTTTGGAAAACTTATTTATAACTACATTGCTGCTACAATTTGTGTGAACTGTGAACATTCTATTTGTTGTATATGAAAATTCTCAAGCCATTATGATATGTTATTCTCCAACATATAGTTGTCTTTGACTAAATAATAGTTTCCTTAACAATAATTTTACGTATTTAGAGATCGCCCTTCACTCTTATTTAATCATTATTGTGTATGAAGTACCCATATAGAATTATCTTTTTTTTTAAAAACTTAAATGGAATTCTTGCATCAACTGATGTCAATTCAATGATAGTCTTAGAATAACAATTTCGTCACCCATGTGTCTTCCAGAAAATATCTTTCCTCGTATTGAGTGATTGGTAAACTGAGTACCATTAAATAAACTCATTGAATGATCAATGTTTCCTTAGTGTCCATATATAATTATAATAGACCATGTTTAATAATAATATTTAGTTAATGATATAAGTGTCCATAAATAATAACACTCACCGTGATTAATAATTCATACATAAAATTTTAAATTTTCATAGTGTTGAATAAAAATATAAATCAATTTGATACTAAATATTGAAAAAATAATTATGTTTTAAATTTGATAGAAATTATTACAAACGCATATAAAATAAAATATGTAACACAATATTTCCATATATTGATGCATAAAAATTGGACAAAATATTTTTGACATAAAGGGATAAGGCTTTTTGTTGTTCGTTATTGTTATAAAAGTAAAATATTATTTCTGTATATTACACTATCATTTCTATAAATAGTAATACATGCATATATATATATATATATATATATATATATATATATATATATATATATATATATATATATATATATATATATATATATATATATATATATAGTATTTTTGTATATAATACTATCATTTCCATAAAAAATAATAATTGCATATATATGTGGAAATGTTGTCTCTATTATAATACTCCCTCCGTTCCTTAAAACCATTCCTATTTTGACTTTGTACCAAAATAAGAAAAGTGTAATTTTGGTTGACTTTCTAATTTTGCTCCTGATATGATGGGTAAAAGTAAGATGTGATAGTTTGTTTATTAGTGAAAAAGTATGATGTGATAGGTCGGGTATGAAAAATTATGGGTAAAAGTGATTTTTTAATAGAAAGTTGAAGTGTTTTAAGAAATTAGAAAAAAACAAAAGAGGAAAAGTTTTATTGAACGGAGGGAGTAGTAGTGCATATTATTTCCATATATTGTTTATACCTGACATTATTATTACTTTTATATTGAATTAAAATATTATGGAGTATGTTTTTTTCACATTCTATACTATTATTTTTATATAATAATAAATGCATATACATTAAAATATTTTTTACGGAGTATTTTAAATATGAAAGTAAAATATTATCTTCATACATATACAATACTACCATTTTTTTATAATAATATATTATTATTTCCATAAATATATTTTTAAATACATAATTATTTCCACAAGTAATATAATGCATTAAACGCACTCAATATATCCATAAAATTTTCCCGCATAATACATTTAACGTACAATTATTTCCCTAAATAATATATTAAATGCACATAACATTTCCATTAAATTTTCTGCCCATTTTTTGGTCAACTATTCCCCAGCTTTTAAATAAAGTATTGATAAGTAATAAGTAATACAAATAAGTTGAAGACAAAAAGTTTTGATTACTCGATTTGTCTCAAAATATTTGTCCAGTTTGAAATTTTTGCCATCAACTAAGAACTTTTGACGTATAATTAAAAGTTATTATTTAGTATATTAAGTAGATAAAAAATATTTTAAAATGTATAATAAGTCTAATAAAGCTATTTTATATTAATATGTAATAACAATTTTATTAAATTTATGGTTAAAACTTGTAAATTTTTATGATAAAAAAGCCAGAACTACACAAATATTTGATAATGAAATAGTACTCCCTTCATTGTCCATAGATCTTTTCGTCAGCCGTTACGAGGCTTGATTGACTTTATTTTTAAATTAATTTATTAAATTATAAATGTCAAATTCAAACATAAAAATTATATAGTGAAAGATACATGAAAAAATCTATAATACAAGTAACAAATCTATATTATTTTATGAAATGAGTAGCAAAAATAAGCAAATAAAGTGAATTAAGTTTAACTTGTGAATAATGTCTATGAAGAAAAGTATTACTTTCTTTGTCTAGTGTAATTATCCTGTTTGGTCTTTTCGAGTCAAAGTAGATTAAATGTGAACTTTTATTAAGTAAAAACAATAGTATATTAATGACAACTTAAAACTGTATTT